AGACAGCTATTTATAAATACTTGTACTTTCTTGATTGTGGTTGTTGTAGTTCTCCAAGTTTCAGCTCCATACAGTAGAACTGCCTTGACGTTCGTATTGAAGATTCTCACTTTGATATTGGTTGAAAGTTGTTTTGAGTTCCATCTGTTCTTCAACTGAAGGAATGCGACCCTTGCTTTGCCGATCCTCGCCTTTACGTCTGCATCTGAACCTCCTTGTTCATCGATGATGCTTCCCAGATATGTGAAGGACTCGACATCTTCCAGAGTTTTGCCATCAAGAGTGATTGGATTGCTGTTTTCCGCTTTCAATTTGAAGACCATGGTTTTCCCTTTGTGTATGCTGAGGCCTACTGATCCAGAGACTGCTGCTACACTGGCTGTCTTCATCTGCATCTGTTCGTGTGTAAGCGATAGGAGGGCTAGGTCATCTGCGAAGTCCAAATCGTCTAATTGGTTGTGAGCTGTCCATTGTATTCCATGTTTTCCCTCAGATGTCGAGGTCTTCATAATCCAGTCGACCACCAGAAGAAAGTGGAAGCGAGAGAGTAAACAGCCTTATCTGACTCCGGTCCTTACTTGGAATGCATCTGTCAGCTGTCCTCCATGCACTACTTTGCACTGTAGTCCGTCGTATGAGTTCCGGATAATATTGACAATCTTCTCAGGAACTCCATAGTGTCGAAGGAGTTTCCATAACGTTCTCCTATCCACACTGTCAAATGCCTTTTCATAATCAATGAAGTTGATGTATAGTGATGAGTTCCACTCAACTGATTGTTCGACGATGATCCGTAGTGTTGCAATTTGGTCTGTGCACGACCGGTCCTTACGGAATCCAGCTTGTTGATCTCGAAGTTGGGTGTCTACTGCATCCTTCATCCGGTTCAGCAACACTTTGTTGAAGACTTTCCCTGGTATTGACAGTAGTGTAATGCCTCTGTAGTTTTCACACTTGCTCAGATCTCCTTTCTTTGGAATCTTGACGAGGTGTCCTTCTTTCCAGTTCATCGGCACTTGTTCCTCCTCCCAAATCTTTATGAATAGAAGATAAAGCATGCTTGTGGTTGCTTCGATGTCTGATTTCAGTGCTTCAGCTGGTATGTTGTCGGGTCCTGCTGCTTTCCCGTTCTTGATTTGTCTGACGGCCATTCTGATTTCTTCCGTTGTTGGTGGGTTGACATCTATGGGAAGATCTATGTGTGCTGCTTCGATGTCCGGTGGATTCATTGGAGCCGGCTTATTCAGGAGTTCCTCGAAGTATTCTACCCATCTGTTACGCTGTTGTTGAATTTCGGTGATTGGCTTGCCTTTTTAGTCATTGACCGGCCTCTCTGGTTTACTGTATTTCCCTGATAGTTTCTTCGTTGTATCGTAAAGCTGTTTCATATTTCCTTCTCTAGCAGCTTTTTCTGCCGTCGTTGCTAGTTCTTCCACGTATTTCTTCTTGTCGGCTCTAATGCTCCTCTTCACTTGTTTGTTTGCTTCTATGTATTCAGCTTGTGCTTGGACTTTCTCTGCTCGTGTTCGGCTGTTGTTAATTGCTGTCTTCTTGTTCTTCCTTTCTTTGATCTTGTCCAGTGTTTCTGTAGAGATCCATTCCTTATGATTGTATTTCTTTAGACACGGAACCTCTTGACACGTTGAAGTTAATGCTTCCTTGATGCCTTTCCAATTGTCCTCCATAGTAGTTTCTTCTTCTTTCAGTAGATCTTGTAAGGCTTGGAACCTGTTGTTGAGAGCTATCTTGAATTCATTGAGTTTGTCAGTGTCTCGAAGGAAGGCTGTATTGAACCTTTGTAGTGCTGTTTGTCCACTTGTCCAGTTCTTTTTTAGCTTCAGTTTTAAATTGGCTACAACTGGTTGGTGATTTGAAGCTACGTCAGCACCTCTCCTGGTTCTCACATCTTCCATTGTCCTTCGGAATTTTTTGTTGATGCAAATATGGTCTATTTGGTTCTCTGTGGTGTGGTCCGATGAGATCCATGTAGCCTTGTGTATACGCTTGTGTGGAAATATTGTGCCTCCTATGACCAATTTGTTGAATGCACACAGGTTCGCAAATCTTTCCCCATTTTCGTTTCTCACTCCCAGTCCATGTCGTCCCATAATATCTCCATATCCAGTGTTGTCTATTCCGACTTTGACATTTAGACCTCCCATCAGAATAGTTAGGTCTTTCCTTGGGCATTTCTCAATGATTGACTGCAGCCGCTCGTAGAACTGATCTTTAATGTCGTCGTTGCTATCATTGGTGGGTGCATAACATTGGATAATATTCACAAAGATCCCCTCCTTCTTTGTTTTGAATGATGCGTTGATGATTCTGGATCCGTGAGATTCTCATCCTACCAGTGCATTTCGTGCTACTTTGGACAGCATAAGAGCGACTCCCTGAGTGTGTGGAGCATTGTCCTCTTCGTGACCGGAGTATAGCAGCATCTCTCTCGTAGCTAGCCTTTTCTGTCCAGCTTGGGTCCAGTGGGTTTCGCTGATTCCCAGTACTGATAAGTTGTATCTCCTCATTTCCATTGCTATTTGACTGGTCTTCCCGGTTTCCCATATTGTTCGAACGTTCCATGTACCTATAAAATTTTTTTGCTCTGGTTGTTAGAATGGGCATCGGCCTCGTGGCTTCCGAAGGAACTCGGCTTTCACCATGAAACGTCATAATTCTTCTAACTGAAGACATTCTGACTCCCAAGGCAGAGTTAAAATGGTTTGAATTATTTTTTCTGGTTAGCGTTTTTTTAGCGAGTTCGTTTTCTACGGGATGGGGACGCTAACCCCAACTCTCATGCCTATAGACAACATGATGTGAGCTTCTCCTTTTCCTGAACTTCCTAAAAGTGTGGGTTCTGTTCATAGTCAAACATATTCACAGGACCATTTGGAACTGGACAATTTGTCCAAAGTACGGGATGACACTCAAACAGATATTACTAAAAATAGATTTACTCAAAATGGATAATGAATGAGTTAGTTTTCTTCAAAGCTTCTAGTGTTTCTTTAGAAAACTTTGCGATTTCAGCCCAAAGGAACTATTTGACGTACTTGAGCTCGTCACGAGTTTATTGTATTTTTCGCTATTGGACATAACCACTTTGTTTTTGTTTACGCGGCATTTTGTTCTTCGGAACATGATATCGAGTGGAGTCAGATGTTCTGAAAGGAATGATCCTAATTGTTCCAATACATTTAACCAAAAAATACCAGAATGCGAACCACTTCCAGATTACCATTTTTACTGTCAACTTGCCCATGGAAGCCCTACCGGAATTATACATGGTTTTAAAACAGTCCGTCAGCTCCACACGAAAATATCGGAGTGTTTTGATATAAATCCATCTCAGGTAGAGTTGAATTATTTCACCTGTATTTGTTTCCGTTTATGATTTCTTTCTGCCGTTTTTAAATAGTTATAAGCTACTTTCCTTCTCGATATGTATGGTTTCATCATACAAATGCCTTAGAATATCCCTTTTCCGATTATTCAAGCATATTTCTTAATAATACGTCAAATGATGTATTTTGTAACTATCATATGAGAGACTATGTCATATTTTCATGCGAATGTGAAATGATAGCATGAATTTTAATGTAGCCGATGTTAATACCTTTTTGGAAACGACATGCAAACATATTTTCAGGTGGGTAACTGTGCACGAAAAAAATCACTTGTGTTTTGGTCAATAAATGCTGTTATTTATCTCACCCTCTCTTTCATCCTCGACTAGTTATAAATAACAACAGTTGTAAAGTATTTGGCTTGATAACGTCTGTATTCAAATAGACGAAGACGATGGAAATAATGAGGCCAGCTAGCGGTTATAAGATATTGAAGTTATGCAAAGATACAAACCTTTTGTATTCATATTCCCATAACCTTCATATTTGACTACTTTTGCGTCACTTATACACATTATTACTGAAATGTAAACTTGTTTCTTATGCCAAATCATACATTTTTGCCATAAGTCTGTTGACTTACAAGAATTTCATTGTTTTTTAGACGTTTTTCACTAAAAATCTAGTTATATCTTGTTACAATTGTAATTTTAGCTTCAAGAATAACTTAATGAAATTTATGTTTATTGGTTCAATGAGATAATTTTTTTCTTCACGAAAACCCAACATTGTTTTACGTGTTACCTATTTTAATCGTTATCGTCCCAAAGTTGTGCCTTGGGTGTGATAGTCTTGTATTTCTGGTGGGAATGAATGTAGCTTGGTGTCTGGAAAAGCTCTCAGGAAAAAGTACTGTGATCCACTCTTGCTAATATAATCCTTTAAAAATAAAGCTTATTTGTAGGTTACCTGTGAGTGATCATGGACTGTTTCGAAGCATTTCTTTATGTTGGGACCGCCTAATGAGCAATGTTGATGTCAAATAGTTGATACTGGGTAGCGGATCTACATTCCTAACCACCACTATCAATCCGTAGAGTGAGTGCTCATTAAACTCAGCCATTTTATTAGATACAGACTGCTACATTACGATCCGAGTGATTATCGCAATGGACGGTTTAAAACTTGAGGTGAAATGGGCTAAAATCGTTTGCAACTTCATATATGCATTCACAGATCTCTCCCTTTGATCGCAAATTTATTTAGTACTGTGTGGTAAATGTTTTGAATTTATATTCAAACCCAACAATACCTTCTGCCTCGCTATGATGGTTGGGTTTTTTAAATAGTGACTACGCAACAAAGGTATGTTTACTGAAACACTTATCGCCCAAATTCCTTCCCCACCAGGGAGATCAACTGGATGGTAGTGAGAAAGTAAATTGTAGATGTAAGGTTCGGGGGCGAAGCAGTGTTATCGCATGTTCGTAGATTTTGCAGTAGTAGGGTGTTTTTCACAAGTGAACATCATCAACAATACCTCCTCTTCACAATACAAGGTGTGTTTAATCACTATTTGTGTTTTTATTGAAAGAGTTTCACCTAAAGGTTTTACTTTATATCGCCCGTCTCTTAGTTAAGTAATTTCACAGTCGCTTAGTTTGTGAACGAACAGTTTCTGTGACAATTTAACATTTTTCTAATAGACTAAATCAAGCACCATATATTTGACTTGCTTTCTAATAAAATACATTTTCTAAATAAGATTTTCATGACATCATCGCAAATCTCTGGTTGGTACCATGTAACAAGTTCTTTCAATCCTAAATCTAGTTCAGTATTTAGTTATGTTTGTGATGACATAAAAATGAGTAGCATATTTATATTATCTTGGTCCAGTTTTGTCGTGTTCTATCAAACCATTCTTTATAGCTTTACAAGATATATTCTTGAACATCATGATGGCTTTTCTCGTCATTGTATTAATGCAAACCAACTTATTTAGTCGGTGATTGAGCCAAGAAATTCAATATGAGTAGAAGTGATCTGTCCAAGCAAGCATATTGCAGGCATAAGATGCAACTTTCACCTACCTCAAACCCTTCTTATTCTCTTTTGATACAACATTGGTTATTGCCTTTGAGCAATGACACACTGATGATATGTTTGTAGAAAAATTAGATATTAGTAGGATTCAATAATAATGTTGAGGTTTAAATTTGGTAATTTTCTGTTTAACTATAATATGTTTGAACATGATTTGCACTTTATTAGTAAACATTTTTCTTCAACAACGACTTTTATCCTTAAAAAAGACCAATTTTTGGCGACCGTGAAGTTTGTTTAGATCTATATTCTCTTGGTTGTTCCTTAGAGGCTGTCGTCAAAAGGGATATTTTAACGATATTTTATGAGATGCAACAATATATTAAATAGTAGGCGACTCCCTTCTGTTTCAACCCATACATATTCTATATTTCCTTGATAAAGCTTGGATCAGATTGCCAGGAGAAACGTTACATTTGCTTCAAATTCTTTCACTGAGACTTTGCAAATACATTCTTCCTCTTTAATATTGAGGTAACGTTTTTCTTTTGTGACATGATTCAGATCATTAATTAGATTTTACATGGTTCATACCATGATGGCAGATTAATTTTATTACCTGTCAATATCATAGACGATGAATGTGTGTGACTGAAGTTTCTTCGATGCCTTTTCTTATTTCTAGATGTTATTAGCGTAATTATATATATTAATTATATAAATTAAATATATGTAGCTCATCTCCACGTTTTGTGTGAGAAGAACAGGTCGGATGGAAATTAGACCTTGAAATGAAGACCTAAGCAAAAGACATCCTCCTATTTATATGAACACATGAATATTGGTACAAGGAGGCACCAAATACATATGCACCAAACAAGTCACTTGATTTGTGTGTGGACTGTGATATTGTCCAGATGCCCAAACCGATGCAGGTGATTTTCCTAGGGGGCCATGCCTAGAGCTTTTAACCTAAAGGTCTGATCCACAAGGCAGTGGAGTAACGTCAGGAGATGTAGTCTCATGGTAGCTGGTCATCAACAATAGGTTTACACACCATTTGTTCCCTTAGGATCCTGGAGCCCATATGCACCACTAGTTGTGATGGTTGTTGTATACGCGTGATCATGTGAGAGCATTTGGAAAGGGAAAGCGGACTCTCATCACCTTTGGCCGTACCAGGACATCTGGGGGCATCTACTCGCTAGATGAATGAAAATATATCGCACAAGTATTACACATTGAGAAGTAGATGTACTACAAATTTATTATCATGCAACCTATCCCATTATAAGCCAATTGTCTATTTTGTTGATGTACTTATACATACAGCCCTCATTCTATCAACATATTGCTCATCCATCCAGCCCAGAGAACAAAACTCCATCGATATACAACTCTCGCCTATTTTAATGGGCAATGATTGTTTACTCAGAAGTAGGTCGGCCAAAATCTATATGCAACCAAACCAAGATATGGAATTAGTTCATGTGATCATTTACTTTTGATTTGATCTACATTGACAGAAGCAAATCATCTTGTTAAAATCCATATAATAACTGCAATCAGTGACTGGAGACATTTTTTTAAACATTGATTAGAATCGTTCACAATAGTGTAAATTTATTTACACTTCATCTGCTCTTGAACATAGAGTTCTAATATTCCATTTAAAAAAACAATTTACATATTACATTTCTGAAACAGAATATTAATGATGGATCATTTTCATGATCGTTTCCACTTAATTATATCGATCTGTTTATAATTCATTTGCTCGTTATTTTCATCTTTCGTTGTTATTGTGATAGAACCACTTGGTTATAAAATAATCTATATACATATATATAAACAGAGTGACCTAGAACAAAGGTTGCATGTACAAAATGGATACCATGTGATGTCGGTAAGAATGGAACACTTATAACAAAAGCAAACAATTATAGTTTATTATTGTCACATGAGTGTGTAAACTGTCATCTATACAGTTTCTTGTCTCGTACAATTTGTAAACCTACAAGTTAAGTCAATGTTCACGAAATGCCTTCAATGAAACTATGATGACCAACTAAGTGGTGATGTGCTTCAAAGTATTTCAAAAGTTTCAATGCTTAATTGAGATTAGATATGTTGAGAGTCAAGAAAAATATTTTTTTACGAGGGGGGTTAGAAGGTTGTTACCTTGTAAACTAAATGAAGTTGAAACTGCACAACCGGATGTCGACTGATTGGTTGTAATATTAAGGCGTTCTTTGTGAAATTAGAAAGTCCATGGTTTGATCCTCGGCTGGGTTGTCAGTTTAAGCTGCTAGAAATCTCAAAACTGACATGAAGAAAGCATTCACTGCATAGTATCAAATGATAATAGTTGCAATATATCATAAACCTGCTGAACTTTAAAATACAAACTAGTAGATACCAATGGAATAGTTTTAGAGTTAAGCCCTTTCCATGAGACCCAAGGACCCTGTCGTAAACCACCGGTAAATCGGCCAGCCAGTCAGTCGACTACAACCTAGGATTAGGCACATATATGCATCGGTCCAAGTTGCCATACAAAATTAGCACAACAAGATGAACATCAATTTCATAGAAGGAGTTAATTCAATGAAAGTAATGTATTAAAAAAGATTGTGTGTAATAAAGGAAGAAAAAATTAGAAAAAAAGACATGAAGCAATATTAATCTCACGATTTACATGAAGACAAAGAGTGTATACATCTACACCATCATGATCGATTCTGAGCCATGTCACCAAGAGTCTCCAACCATTGGTTACGATAGTCACACGGACCCCTACCAAGTAGTGTGCATCTAGCAACATGACTCAGATTAGAAGATAGCAACTTCATTTTGACTGATGGGACTTTTTGGTTTGGTCTCCGCTTTTCTTCCAACCATCTTCAACACCAGATAGCATTGTGCGTCGTGGTAATCGGTGTTCAGGCATACATAACACATGACCCAATCATCTTAGTCGACGAAGATTTACAAACGATGATTGTCCATAACTAAATAATCAATATTATTGATAGATTAGCTGTCCAATGCTTCCTTGTTGTTAACTTCATTCCATTTTATAATCATCTATATACATTTTCATTCTGTTTAAAATTCAATATGAATCATTCATTATAATTTCAGTATACATATAAGTAATAAATTAAAATCAAGAAAAAGTTTTTGGTTTATAATTTTTGTTTTCATTTTAATGAATAAATTATGTAAATTAATAGTGAATTTATGAAATCAGTAATAACAAAAGTTCCATTGATAAGAACGATCTTTTTTTTCATCTCTATATAGTTTAAGAAGAAAAAAAAACTCAATGAACCAATGGTTGTCATAGTGATCTAATTAGTTTAAGATTCAATTCTAATCAACTGATGAGTTGTACAATGAAATGAAATAATCATTCTCAATTTCATTATAACCTATTCATATACATGTATTAATAGAATTGAATTCAATTTCTAATTATAATTCTATGATGTAGATACAATAAGATTCATGATTTCATTTAAAAACCTTAATAATCTTCACAACTCCTATATTGGTAATTAACTTGTACTCACTAGTGACTAGCTTAGTGAGGAAATTCTCGGAGTTCGGTTGAAAAGTCGTGACCAGTGGAACCAGTCCGTGTCGGGTAAAGACAGGTATCTACCTCAGTACGATAGGAGATGGTAGTACAATTTTGTGGATTGGTTGATGTTAGACACTAACACCATTGTATGCCGGCTCAGTGGTCCAGTAGATTAAGTGTTCGCGCGCGAGACTGAAGGCCCTGGGTTTTAATCCCGCGAACGGGATCGTGGATACGCACTGTTGAGGAATCCTACAATAGGAAGTAACGGCGGTTCAGGGTTTCCAGGTTTCCAACGGTGGTCTAACATCAACTGGTTCATGATCTCAATCAAAAGCAAAAAGAAAAGTTATCACCTAATTAGGCAAGATAAAGATCAAGTGTAAAATTTGAAAAACTAACAATCAATTGAATTAACGCTTAACGTTGTTTCTCATGTTCAACTCTGTCGATGAGTACTGAGATGAATTGAAAATAGGTAATGTATTGAACAAAGAATGCGAATAGGGAATAATCGAGTGTATTTGAAAACGAAATTATAGAATATCACATTAAAATCTGAGAACAATACAGTAACTACTTAATTTGCAAAATATCAATCCATCGTCTCAGATTTCATTGTCCCTGCATTTTAACACTAATTGCTTTTCGTTCTCGTTCATTCCTTCTCGATCTTCTACTGAAATAAATTCTATTCCTGACTATCGTTATATACTACTTATGTGGATACAAGTTACTGACATCGCAGGTAGAGACGCAATGTTGAGGAGTATCCTACTAGGATGAAACGACCAATCATTGCTTTCAAGATTCCACAGTTTCCATAAACTTCTATGTGTTAACATGTCTTATTTTTGAATGGAAATAAAATTAAGGCATCAAAAAAAGAAACCGGTATGCCAATAATAACTAATTCATTCATTCATGAAACTATCTATAACGTGGATCACGACATACCCTTATAAAAGCTTCCGTTATTCTATACGTCTTAATATTTTACCGTGTGTACCTTTTTTTCAGAGAGGTTAGACGCAGGGTATTAGGGAATGATGGCAAATCAGTTGATAGTGTTGTGAATAATCATCGACTGAGATGGTTGGGTCGCATGTTGCTTATTCCTGAATACCGATTACTACGACACACAATGCTATCTGGTGTTGGAGATGGTTGGAAGAAAGGTAGCGGAGGCCAAACAAAAAAGTCACATCAGTCAGAATGAAGTTACTATCTTCTAATCTGAGTCATTTTGCTAGATGCACACTACTTGGTAGGGTTCCGTGTAATTATCGTAACCAATGGTTGGAGACTGAGTGACATTGCTCAGAATCGACCACGATGGTGTAGATGTATACACTCTTTGTCTTCCCGCAAATCGTGAGATTAAAAGTGCTTTACACCGTTTTTTCTAATTCTTTCTTCATGTATTATACACGATCTTTCTTTAATACATTGGTTTCATTGAATTAACTCCTTCTATGAAATTGATGTTCATTTTGTTGTGCTAATTTTGTGTGGCAACTTAAACCGATGCGTATATGTGCCTAATCCTAGGTTGTAGTCGACTGACTGACTTCTTTCAGCGATTTTATTCTTGGGTATTTGGTAAATTATCGTCTAACTGGTCTCGTTTTTGTATTGAGCAAACATTATCAATTCAACATGATTTTACTTTAATTTGAATTAGAGGATTTATGAGAAACTCTGTTGTAAAGCTTAAATAAACTTGGATTGTAGCAATATGGTAAAATCCAGACATCATATTTCTTCCTGTTCAGGACTCACTAATTAGATTGTGGTGTATGCTATTTATGCTGACAGATATAAATAGTTGGAAGTAGAATGCCTTTCAACAGAAGATTGGATTGAAGAGGACAGGAAAGGAAGTAAAGAACAATTGTGATAATAACAGGATTGAAAGAATAATGAAGCATTGTACAGCAAAATTGAAAGATGATGTGTAAATAATGTGTTCAATGTATAGTTTTCGTATTTTATCAAAGTAACCTGTACAAAACAATGAGTTGGTTTTCTCTACCAACCGCATTCTCGTTCACTTCAACATATTTAGTCAGCATAAAAGATTACAATACAAGAGATAATCGAAATTTATTAAAACGTATAACGAAAGGTATTATCATAGTGGTCCTTGCATGATTCACCTATCCTAACAGAGAATAATCGAATACATTCCTTAATATCAGCAATGTATAACTTCGGTTGAGTATTATGAAAATGAATAATCAACGACTCAAACTGATCCTCAATCAGTTACATTTTGTTGTAACCAGTGACTTTCTTATTAAATAGATCAATTCATTTGTCTACTGATAGATTACTTATTTAATTATATGATGTAAAGTTGTAAGGAATATGCTTCCAACTAAACAGGTCACTGATTCAATAGTCCATTTCACCTTCTTTACTTTCAGTAACCGGGTTATACCACCAACTCCTATACATAAACGGTATGATTTTAAGCATAAACTCAAAGTAACTAAGTTACATTTCAATACAGACAATCATGTAAATTTTCATTAACCACACCAATATGATCTATGTATTCATTGTTCCCTTACTTCCCCCCCCCTCATTTCTTTATCTCTTCTTTTTTCTATTCTTACTATTTTAGATTATGTATTGTACACGTAATACACATAAATTAGATATGGATAAATTATTAAGTTATGAAATTGGTTTAAATGATTTTTTATTTGCACATATAAAAGGACAACCAAAAGAGATTAAAATACGTAAAACAAGTGAATCATTTGGTTTAACATTAACAGATAATGGTTGTGGTGTAGTGATTATAAAACGTATTAAACCTGGTGGTTTTATGGATAAAGTATCTAAAACATGTCATGATTTAATACAACCTGGTGATCAAATTGAAAAAATTGATGATATTTCATTTAATGGTCGACGTCATTATCATGTAGCATCTTATTTACAAAGTATTCCTATTAAAAATGTATTTTGTCTACGATTAATTTCACCAGAACGTTGTCCTATGTGTAAGTCGATTATATCATGTATTTTATGTAATTGGTTCCCTTTATGAATTGAAATGGAGCAAGAACAAACATTGATGCAGAATAGTATGAATTCATATTATTTCGAGATTTCTCGTCAGCTGCTTACAAACCAAAATTGTGATGGAATTTTGACATGGAGATAGTGTGAAACAATTGATATAAATGAGTGTAAATAACTTGATTACAATAATAACTATATATATATATATGCTAGAAACAGGTCAGAGGTCAAAAGAGGGGGGTTAATCCAGGTTGGGTGGTGTAATAATTTAGTGAAGTGGTGGAGAAGATTTGTAGCTCAGGTGGATAAATTTGGTGGAGTTTTGTTCTCTGAGCTGGATGGTTTTGGTTTTGCAGCTGACGAGAAACCTCGAAATAATATGAATTCATACTATTCTGCATCAATGTTTGTTCTTGCTCTATTTCAATATCGTGTATTGTTTTGCCAAATTTTTTTAAAAATTCTATCCCATTTATTAAAAAAAAATTCAAGTAATCTCTTAATAAAATATGACAATGCATTCCATTGACGAAGTATTACTCAGAAGATAGATACACAGACATTATCAACTTAGAGCTTCCCACAGATGTACCTTAGTCCAAGTTGTCATACCTCATTCATTTGAAAAGACATGGGGCTAAAGGTATGCACGAAAGTATAATGGAAAAGGAACAAATGTAATTTTAACATTATGAACCATTTTGAGCCAACTATTGGTTAGGATAGTTTAATGAACCAAAACCAAGTAGTGTACATTTACCAACATCGTCTAGTTCAACAGTTGATAATTTTACGGATTAGTGTCGTCTTTGTTTAACAACCCCAACGTTCTTCTAACCTATTACGCTTGTCATGATAAGTAGTGGTTAAGCATACATAGTAGACGTTTCAACGAATTCATAAAATAAAGATTCACATCTTTACCTCGTATCATGTGTTTAATTTAAACATTGTCTACTCGATCGTTCCACATGATGCAAGCAATGTTTCAAAGACACCTTCATTCAAAAACATACAATCTAACCATATTTTCTAATTTCGTAGACTATATTTCATAGGTAAAAATTAGAACATAACAGATTGAAGGTAGACACTGGTGAATTACTGTATGATGATAGCTTGTGAAATTTGCTCAGTACACAGCTACTCCTCATTATGAACTGAAAAAAATGTAAAGCTTTTATCTTCGAAAGCCATTCCATTTTAATATGAGCGTTTTGTGGAAATGGTTGAGTTTTGTTTTTTACATTATAGACTTACCGTAAAAAGCTGGAAAGCAATGAAAAAACTGTTCGCTTCAGTATAAGACTCATAAATAGTGTGCGGCTACTAACCCTTGGAGGTCGAACACAGGGCTTCGTAGCGTGGAGTTTGTGGATTTGACCTACAGTGACAGAGTCGTAGGTGTGCGCTTCTAAGTAGTTCTATATGAAACTGAGACAAACGTCGGTTGCTTCCAAGTTTCCAACGGTTGTCTAATTATTCAATACTATGATCGTGATCTTCTCAAAATAAACTCCAGATAAATACCTAACTATCTGAGTATGATTCGTCAACACAGATAATCATTCGATATACTTAAGGTTAAAATTCGACGAATAAAGAATACCACAAATCAAGTAACCTAACTTAACTAATAGAATTCATTCATTTCCATGGTACTAGACAAACATAACACTGATTATTACTTATTGATCAGTCAATTGTAAAAAAACTACTTTCTGTAAGTCAGTTTATAGATTATGGAAATAATGGAAATATCTAAATCCTGGATGTAAGTTGCTTGTAAATGTGTAATATAATTATAATGTTTTGTGACTTACCTATTCAGTACAAATTTCTCTATTTAATTTTAAGCTATATGATCTATTTGAAGTCTTATTGTATTTTTATCGAATGATCACTCGAATCGAAATAGACTCTGTCAAGTTCAAATATGCAGATTTATCATTTGAAGTCTTTTGTATAATATCTTATCAAAATATCGTTTAAACTTCTGGAGTAAATTCGTTAAATGTGACTTTTCAGTCGTTTTAGGAGGAATTATAGGAATTGAAGAGAAAGGCTGACTATGAATACAATGGTCTTGAGTCGTCTTAGAGGTATGAGGGTGGTTATCACTTCCCGGTCGCCCATACCATGGAAGGGTTCTTCTTAAGGTACCTGAAAACGGAATTGGATTAAAAGTGGTCTTAGTGATCTGATATCGTGACTCTAGTGCTTAAAATCAGTCATGCACGACCATTCTGTGGGTAGTTTTAGTGTTAGCTTCGTACTTGTTGAGACCTTACCATCGGAGACGGATATCCGTGGAATAAGGCAAGTTGTTCATTTCTAGGGTGGACTTTTTCTAAACCCACCCCTCCTTGTGGGAAGGCAGCATCTTTCTGTTATGCTGGTTGTCTGAAGGAAACAACTTACTGCCATCACACCACTGTACAGTTAACAGTACAACTTCGTCCTCAGACCTTGAGGTTGCTGCTTTTAGTCTTACTCTTCTTCAACCGACCTGTCTGGCATGGTAGAACCTTAAGAAACGATTGTTCCAGCCAGTGTTGCTCGATTGGTTCATCACAATATGCAAGCTCGACCACCACGTCCGGGTAGCAACAACGGTTGCGAAATGTAACTTTTAATTTCACGAGATTATTTAAAAAGTCTCAACACTCTCTTTCTTCAAATTAAATCTCAATTATGACAAGTTCCCAGTGATATTTTCTTCAAAATGAAATTTTTTAAGCCTTATTTGCAAGTGAAAATGTTTTCAATTTTAGAAGTAATTTATACCACAAGGGAATATCAACCATGATCAAACTTAGGGAATATTGAATGAATGGTTTATTTTTAATTCTAAAGACATCAAAGACACGAAACTTTTAATTTCTATGATTAACTAAATGTGTTACGATTAATATCGGTCAAGAAACGTAGGGCAGTATTATGTGAATGTGAATCAATAAAACTGGTAGCGGAAGAGTTGATATCGATTCCTATTAATGACAGAAAGATGATTATCACATCCTGGCTCTCTTCATTGTGGAAGAATGCTTGTTCTTGAGTTACAGCAGAAGGAAACTCCATGAGGGATGGTCTTGACGACCTGAGAGAAACAGTATAATGCACAATAGACATTTGTTTAGGACTAGTCACAAATGGCATTTTTGGATAGTTTCAGTATACGAAGGATTATGATTTGTCCAACCATCACCTGTTTTTGTTTCACTTATATCTAAGTTATGTTCATATTGTAATCTTCTCACTGTATTACTATATGATCAGATATCTCAAACATGAGTTTTGTGTCATAATGGAAATAAACACAATAGAGCACTTATCCGTTTTCTATCTTCATCTTCTGGTTAGTTACTGTGTTAGAAGTAGCTGAAGCACAAATAAACGTCAAACTCTTGTGACTTTTGTTCATTGGTCTGTTTGTAGATTGATAAACAGGTCACCGGTATTATAGGAAGAATTAATGAACTAGTCGATAATTGGGCTAGTGGGAGGTCAAACAACTGTTTCTCATCATTACGGATTGATAACACGTAGCTGAAAATATTTCAAACAATCAATGTTTTTTCCAAAAATATTTATAACCAGTGATGACTTAGTGTGTTCGATCCACATTAGTTTTGTTTTCGAGTTAATACAATTTTCCATAACCAACTATCTTTACATAGTAATTTCTTCTAAATAAACTTAGACCTAATGTGACATACAATGTTCAAGGTTCAGAAACATTGTAATTAATCTAATTTCTAGACAAGCAAAAATGGATAGTGGGTAGCAATGGGATTCAGGACACGCGTTTCGTCCTATTTAGGACTCGTCATCTGGATGTACCTGTATCCCAGAGTTAATGATCACTCTAGAACGCGTACCCAGTAACGTTCGCTTCAAGCGCCATTGGGTTATCCACTTAGCTACTGAGTCCCGATAGTCACCTGCTTGTGCCATAGGGTGAAGTTTTAAATTCACTCAATGTTGCTTACTTGTATCTTCATATTGTTATTTAAGACTGCAATCGATCATTCTCTCTCTTATTGGCATAAGTGCATCCTATGCGGATTGTACTACGAACGTTAGTGGGTTCGATTCCCAGGTTGAAAATCAATTCTGAGATACAGGTACATCCAGCTGACGAATCCCAGATAAGAAGAAACATGAGTCCTAAATTTCACTAATAGTTACTGTCTTTGCTTATAAAGCTTGTGAATTAAGGCAATATCGAAGCAGTTCGCACAGGATGTACATATGCCAATAAGAGAATGATCAATTGCAGTCTCAAATAACAATGGAAAGATTCAAACAAACAATACCATGTGAATTAAAACTCCACCTCATTATACAAGCAAGTGACCATGGGGACTCAGTATGTAAGTACATAACGTGATGGCATTTGAAGCGAACGTTACTAGGTACGAGTTCCAGATTGAACATCAACTCGGATGCAAGTACATCCAGATGACGAGTCCCAAATAGGTCGAAACGCGTGTCTTAGATTCGATTGCTATCCACTATCCACCTTTGCATATAAAGCTTGTGACTTAAGGCAATGTCGAGAAAGTAATGTTTCATATAAACCTGTCTTGTTTTCCGTTATTCATCAATGAGTTATTACACTTCGATATACATATATATATTCACACATTATATCCACATCAACAACAATAACCACAACCACAACCACCACCACAACAACAACAACAATAAAATCTTTTTATACAAGTAAAACGAAATATTAAATGATTAGAGATAGAAAAGTCGAAGAAACAAAACAAAAAACAGTCATATTAAGAAATCAATTTTCATTGCAAAAAAAGGAACCATTATTATCGTGACTACTCTCCTACACCCACTTACACTATGCACACAATCATGCACGCATGTACGCACACACACACACATATGAACACATATACATTCATGTGATTATGATGAAATTATAAAAATAAACAATTTATTAGTATGATAGACAATATTTGTTATGTAATCAATGTAACACCATTTCAATGAAATGAAAGTATGGATATGTAAATATTAAAATTACAACTATTCATAAATTCCACATGCCAAGTGAATAGAAACGTTTATTAAGTTCAGCAATGTACACCCACGACGATAGCACTGGAGATCGAACTCATGGCCTTTAGTCTCGTATTCACAAACTCTTAACTTCTAGACTATCAAGTTGTTATGCATTAGTATATATGTCTAAATGCAATCAATCTGTGGTAATGCGCGGCCATATTTACCTTCGAGACACCTGACACAGTCCAGTGTTTTTGAATTTTCAATAGTTATGTAACTTAGATTTGTTCGTGATCCTTGTAAACATTCACTAATCTTTACAACTGTCATACTAAATAGTTAACATTCAGTATGCACCAATTTGTTTTGTCGCTTATTTAATGTTTTCATACTGATATGAAGAGTAGAACTGAGTGCAGGTTGACATTTGCTTGCTTTCTGACTATCATTTTCATGAGTCGATCATCATCTTAGTAGATGAAGGCTTATAATCTTAATAACGGACATGTTATCCTTACTTAATACCTTGATTTTAATCTGGGCACTACTTATTGAATGATCACAACATACTCGATTGATGCTTTGAAGTGAATTGTTATTAAATATTGGTAAACTACAAATGTCATCTATCGTTAAAAGTCACGTATTACAGCCATGAATTCATACTGAGTAGATATCTACACAGTGTACTCACCTGTTCGTGAGAAGACAGAATTATTTTAAACCTTTTTTTCTTTTGTTTGGTTTCTTCTTCTAGATACATAATGTCTATATCCAATCTTTTTTACTGTTACTGATACTACTACTACTAATGCTACTATTCAGACTGCTTCGGTATTTATCTTCACAGTTTTATCTCTCTGTATCGATGGAGTATAGTATTTGCTTCACGAATAATTTAATTGATTTTTTGTATAAAATGCTTTGACACATATATGTTTGACCAGATTGTTCAAAATGTATAGCGCAAAATACATCACATTAAATCGAGCCTTTTGTATCCGTGCTTAGATTTTGTCACACACCAGATTACAAGGGCTGATAAGACTCCAAAGATATGTTTAACAATCTGTGTGATAATGAAACTTCAGCATATTGGATAGCTCAGTGGCAACATCTCTGACTGTGAAGCTTGGTGAAACCGAATCGAATCGTTCAGGGAGCACCAGTTCCCTCGAGATTACAGGTACACCTTGCTGACGAGTGCCAAATAGCACGAAACTCGGGTCCGGGGTTTCCTATAGACTACCTCCAACCACCACCTTATTTCAACAATACTTTATGAATAAAAGAGGCTTCCATATACACAGATATAAAGCAACCGTCAAATATCAAATTAATTTAATAGAAGTACCTGAATATACTTACAATATCTTCTATGTTCAATCCATTAAATATCTGAATACTACTTAATAAAGTATGATTTTTATCAAAGATTTCATCTCAAGAATCAGTAACTATTGTTAAGGACAGCGTTCGAAGCAAACGTTACTGGGTTCGAGTCGCGGAGAGAATATCAACTCTGAAATGCAGGTACATTTAGTTGACGAGTCCCAAATAGGACGAAACATGCGTCCTAATTTTCACTGCTAGCCGTTATTCATCTAATTAGAGAATTTTTATAATGTAATATTAAATAACTTTATACTACATAAGAAATAATATTTTACTGACTTGTTATATATTTACATTTTTGTACATTCTATACAATTTAGATATGATAAGTTCACGTTCAAAAGGTAGAAATAGTCATGTTGGATCAGGCAAACGAACTATTCGTTTTAAACAAGATGGAAATTTAGAAGAAAATGAGGTAAGCAATAATAATTATGATTTTAATGTTTAAATATAATTCAAATTTTATAGATTTATGTCATTATCATTAATAATTCTGTAATTGATTGAGTTTAGTTACGTTGGGATCAAGACAAATATCATTAATATCAGAAGGATTTTTGTGGATATTATAGAAATTTCAATGATTGAGATCATGAGGAGTCCGATAGTAGGACGGAATGGTCGTTCAGTGCTTACAGGTTTTCCATAGTGATCTAGCTTCAATTGATTTATGAACTCAACCATTGAGATATCATTAATTTCAATGGATGTTGATCGTGCTGTAGGGCCAGTGAGCCGTAGCCAAATCCCCCGACAGTTGGGTCACTGAATATCGATGCGAATCAGTTAATCATATACCATGGGCTGGCCAATGAGGTGGTTGTCTCAGTAACTCGAGAAGGTCTCCAATCATTCGACATAGATCATCAATCTTGATGATCTACAATACAATACAACTAGTTCAACATAGGATTACTTTTTTCATACAAACATGATGAATAGCTAAAAAGACGATTTACCAAATTGATTAAAACTGTTCTACTGTGTGCTGATATCACTTTATTTTGTTCCCCATATCTATATATACTTCAAATGTAAACATTATAATTGTAAAGCTCATCAATTCTAAAATCTTCACTTATTATTGACAAAGTTTCATTTGACTATTATTTACTATTATCAAAGAGTCAACAGACAATTTAAAACTATACAGAAAGTATAACGTGTTTTGTTTCCTAATCGTTCATTCCTCAGTAGCATTCACTTATAAACCACAAACTGAACTGACATTAGTATCATCAAGTACGTTAGCAAATGGAATGATTTTAATGCCATTTCATTTTTAATGGGTTGGTTTATTTCATTACTGATATTGTGACATGACTTTGATATTATGACATACGTTTACACAAAATAGATGTAAGTTAGGTGGCAATGGAATTTAAAACATTCATTCTATCACAATTCAACTTTGTCAATTAGACATACTCTCACTGTAATTTATTTTATTTTATTTCATTTAAACAAACAAACACTGGTACAAGGAGGCACAAAATACATGTGCGCCACAAAAATCTCATTCGGTTTGTATGAGGCTGTGATACTGCCCGGGTGCACACTTAGGGAGTCACACCCCAAGCCTTTGACCTTAAGGTCTGATCCACAAGGCAGTGGGTCATCGTGAAGAGATGCAGTCCTATGGTAGCCGGTGACCAACAATTGGTCCATACGCTATTTGTTCCAGCAGGATACTGGAGCCCATGTGCACAATTGGTTTGGAATCCGGTTAGAGCGTCGGACATTCGCTTTTTGTACTCTCAATTTCGTGAGCAAAAACCCCGCCACGAGAAGGAAGTGAGTAGGACTTCCCTGGCAGAGGCTGTATGCGCGTGGCCTTGTGAGAGCATTTTGAGAAGGAGGGCGGGCCCACCCCACTCTCGGCCATAACAGGGCATTTGGGGGCACCCTTACTGTAAAGTTAATATCCACTTCTATATTCGAGCCCGGTACATTTACCTTAGTTTCAATGCATCAATGTTTATAACTCAAATTTTAGCGGATTGGACTTAAATAAAACAAAATAGCAAAATCTTCAATTCCATTATCAATCATATTTCACTTATTTAATGTAAACTTAGAGACTATATATTTTCACGCTTTCATTCTATTCATGAAAAGACTCGTTTTTTGTTTCTTTTATATCACATCAAAGTACATTACAAAAACAAGCAATCAATGTCTTATATTGTCGAATGAAATTGAATTTTCACTCCATATAATAATCAGAAATTGTACTCGGTGTAGAACATTTCAACTGATGTATATTTCATGTGTATCTATGCATGTGTATATGTGTGTGTATGTGTGTGTGTGATTGGTATTAATTTCAAGTTTTATTTAGGCTGTAATTTGAGTGATTGTACATTTTGTGCATTTTGTTGCATTTGAATACAACACTAAAGAACAAATTTATAATTAGAATAATCAATGTATCAGTATTAAGTTGATATGTTTCTAAGGTAGATGTTTGTTTGTTTTTATCCACTAATTCCGAAGAATCAAACATCTATTTCAACCTTTCTTTCTAGAATTCTAGAAGAAAAATCATTAAGTTAGCATTTATAGAATTAATATGATAACCAGGAAACCCCTCTCTGATAATTATAATAATAATAATCATGATATGCTCACTAGTGACGGTCTCCAAGAGATATTTTTCGAAGTTCTAGTGAGAAGTAGTGACCAGTGAAGTTCAACAAGGTCTGATGTGTGATAGTAACTCACTAAAGACAGTGGTGGATGTATCAATCAATTTCATGGATTAGTTGGAGTCAAACATTCACATCGTTGCATGTTGGCCACCTCAGTGGTGTAAAGACTAGACGTTTGCGCGGGTTCGAATCTCGCAAGGCAGGATCGTGGATGCACACTGCTGAGGAGTACCACAATAGGACGAAACGGACGTCCAGTGCTTTCAGGTTTTCCATGGTGGTCTAGCTTCAATTGACTCATGATCTTAACCATTGAAATTACTATAATATCCACAAAAAACCCATATGATTACTTGATTAGTCAAACGCATAAACCCTTTCAAGTTGCAAATGAGAAAATAGAAGACAAGTGAATGGAATACTATTCTGAAATGATATCAGTTATTGTACAAAACTATTAGGTATTTATAGAGTTCACCAATCCGGATGCAAGAGGTTATTATCATTTGTTCAATAGGGAAGCTGAACTTAGGGATTCTGGAATATTCTTCCAAAAGAGGATTGAATGGAATATCTTCAACTTTTTCTAAGCTTGTTAAAGCTTCACAGAATTCATCCATAGACTATCCTTACAATTTTGATCTTACATTAATATTTTAACTAATGTAATAAAAAATTTAGCTTTCCTTTAATTTTGAATTAGACCGATACATAATTCAGACTATTAAATTGAATGATTTATAGTACATTATTCTGTTGACTAATCGTAATGAAGTATTCACTTATTTTCCTGCTAGAATTTAATGTTGATCTTCTTCATTAGGAATTGAATTCGAATAATATTTTCCAGAGTTCTAGTGAGAAGCATTAACTATTACAGTTCAGTAATGTCTAGTGTGAGGCACTTGTTTATTGAAAGTAGTAGAAGATTGGATATGAAAATAATTGGATACCGATTAAATAGCCTAAACGTTAGTCACTCTTTGCTTGTCCTGAACCTTCTAAGTTAGAATTCCGATTAGGTAATGGATATACACTATTGATGAGTCTCACACTGGGATAAAACATCTGTATAGTGCTTTTGATATCACATAGTTACCTAATTTAGGTTAGCAATGATATATAGTGGCTAGCAGTGAAATCCAGGACGCGCGTTTCGTCCTATTTGGGACTCGTCAGCTGGATGTACCTGCATCTGATCAATTGCAGTCTTAAACCTCAATGGGAAGATACAAAGTAAACAATACCAAGTGAATCTAATTTAGGTTAGTCTGTATTATCATTTAAGCAAACCCCTATCATGAAAAGCATATTATTTGTCACCACAACTCAAATATCTTTCTGTCAGTTAGCTACAACAAACATAGAATTAAGAATAGATTCTTAATCTTACTAGAAGAAAATGTTGGGCCTTATATTAGATACTATTTTAATTTAACACCTTATGTTGTACACTCTTGAAATCTAATAAATCGTTTCACAGTATTATCTGACACACAATCTAAGAAGCTGCATAAAATTCTTTTAAATGGAATACTGTAAGATCAGTATACATGAAAACCTCCTTTAACTGAAATGTCTGTTATTTGAGATAAACTTGTGGAAACAACTTGACTGTCCACTCCACTCATGAAAAAAAATCCTCTTTTAAATGACTATGAGTGTTTAAATAAACTAACAGTCTTTTCGAACTTTAGGGCTATAACAAAACGGTATTTATTAATATATTTTAACTACTTTATCGATTATTTGAACTATGATGTTTCATTAGCTGATATTTTCAATATACTTGGATGTATACTGGTGAGAAGTGAAGTGTTGAAATGAAATAGCTTTCTACTGTTCCCTAGTTTTCATAGATTGTTTAACTGAAAACTTTTGAGATGAATTTTTCCATTGAAAAATGAGTCAACTAAAGCTACTCTACCATAGGAAACCTAGAAGCACTGGATGTTCGTTTCGTCTTATTGTGGGACTTCTCAGTAGTGCGCATCCATGACCCCGTTTTACGAGATTCAAACCCAAGTCCTACTGGTTTCGCGCTCGAGCACTTAACCATTAGACCATTGAGCTAGCATCCAACGGTGTGCTTCCAGGTTTTCCATAGTGGTCTAGCTTCAACTAACTCATGATCTTAATCAATTTATACTCAGCATATTTTAAGAATTTAAACTGTAGACATAATAACAATTCACTTGATTATAGTATTTACCATATAAAGTAATTCTAGAGTAATGAATTACTATCTGTATGACGTAATACATGTATCACATGTGAATATGATTTTTCTCTTTTTTTTTACCTTTTTTTAATTACAAAAGTCATTTAAATCAATTCATCATATTGTTGTTTTTTGTTCTCCAAAAACAATTTGCCAAACTATTTTTTTTCATTTAAAATATTTCACTGTTGCCATGGTAACAGTAACTATTAATCAATAAGTGATTGTATAAAAATAATGATATAATCATTTATTTTTTATTGGTTTTATGAATCTTCTTATTGACATTTAGAATTGTAGTTAATCAGTTTTTTTTTATAGATATATGTGTATGTTGTGTAAATTGTCTTGATATTGATTTACGTCATCATTATTATAAGTAAAGATAGATGGTGTTTAGCAATGGAATTCAGGATGTGCATTTCGTTTTATTTGAGACTCATCCGTTGAATGTACTTTTATGCCAAAGTTGATGTTTGTTTCGCGATGTGAACCTAGTAACGTTCGGTTCAAACTCTTTCCTCGATATCTATTACTTACTTACTTATGCCTGTTACTCTCAATTGAGCATAGGCTGACAACCAGCATCTCCAATCCACTCTATCCTGCGCCTTTCCTTCTAGTTCTATCCAACTGTTGTTCAGTCTTCTCATGTCTGTTTCCATCTCTCGACGTAATGTGTTCTTTAGTCTTCCTCTTACTCCTTGGAGACTTTAAGTGAGAGCTTGCTTTATGACGCAGTTGGGTGGTTTTCTCAATGTGTGTTCTATCCACTTTAAGTGTTTCTTCAAAATCTTTTTCCTCCGCTGGGATCTGGTTTGTTCTCTCCCACAGAAGGTTGTTGTTGATAGTTTCTGGCCAACGGATCCGAAGTATTTTGCGTAGAAAACTGTTAATAAACTGCTAGGGTTAAAGCTATCACGAGTTCACTTAATCTGCGGACGAGAAACACGACTCGGTAACCAAAGACCAGTAAGCTAGCTATTGATGCGTCCCAGCCCCGCTAACTACAGGGAAACGTCCAAGCTTGGAATGGAGAAGTATATTCTGCAAACAGCCAGAAACGAGAGATAACAACAAACACAATTCAAAACCGTCCTTTGGGAAAGTTACCAAATAGCATACTAGAACACGCAACGGACCAATAGCATTTAAGATATTTCCCAGTGGGAAATACGACATAAAGGTGACAAGAGCGCCTTTGCGCGAAAACAAAGAAATTCAAATTTTTTAAATAAAATTACGAAATTAGGTTCTTTCCCAAGTGAGTTCTGGGGATCTAACGTTTCCAACATAAACACCTAAATCTTCTGGATGATAAATTTTGTAGTTCTCCAAGTTTCCACCCCATACAGTAGAACTGTCTTGACATTTGAATTAAAAATGCTGACTTTGGTGTTGGTTGACAGTTGTTTTGAGCTCCAGATGTTCTTCAGTTCAAGATATCCTGCTCTTGCCTTGTCGATTCGCGCCTTCACATCTAATGGAATATTCAACCAATCAATACAAAATGAATTAAAAATTCGCTCCATTGCACATGCTAATGGCTATCTGGCCTCAGTAGCTTATTGGATAACATGATGGCATTTAAAGCAAGCGGTACTATGTTTTAGTCGAGGATTGAACATCAACGCTAGAATCCAGGTACATTCAGCTGATGGGTCCCGGGTTGGACAAAATGTGCGTTCTAGATTCCACTGCTAGCCCTCATCCATCTCTGATTTTAATTGTAAAATCAAGCTGGAAAAACGAACTAGGTGTAAATGTTTGATGTCTTCATTATTTCAATCTTTTTACCTCTAACAATTGATTGTACTCTGAGTAGTGACTAATATTACATATGTCTCGTCCTTCATCGTTGGTTGCAATGTGACTACTGTTCTAAATGACTGGAAACTATGAACCTAAATTTCATGATAAATAGAATTAGTCCGTAAGGTTTACATATAATCTTTAATAAACTGAATCCGGAACCCGAATCGTACAACTTTACATTTTGAGACGTAACCATTGAGCTATTTGTATTGTGTTAGACCTATAGGATCAAGAGATTTACATTTAAATGATCATTAAGTAGTGACCTATCTCATGTCTGACTAGTCCTCCTTGGTTTAACCAATTCGCATAAGAAACTAACTCGGTCTCATTAATTGAACTAATTACACTTTATACATTAAGAATGCCTTAAGCGATTGACTAGACAAAGAGTGAATATTATGACAACAGTCAATTGACTGGTTAATTTATCTTCAGATTGTACGGACTACCAACAGAAAATAATCAGGGTTAAAGAATAAGAAACATGATTACTGAAACAATATGACAACTCATATATCTCTGTCATCCTAATATATTCCGACTTATATTACATTAGATTCTTAATAATAGGCTACAATAATCATGATTATTCTATGTAAAAAGTTTGTGTATGTTGAATAGGCTTTGTCTAACATAAATTATGAGTTTATGAATTCACATTATGTCTTGTTATTTGACAGCCTACTTTTATTTTAGACCGACAAAGTATACACCTACGCCGTTGTGATCGATTCTGAGCCATGTCACACGCAGTATCCAACCAAGTAGTCTACATCTACCAACATGACTCAGACTAGAAGTTAGTGACTTCAAACACTGACACCACGTTTTGGTTTGGCTAACCCTAACTTTCTTCTAACCATTCCCAGCGCCAATTAGCATTGCGCGTCGCGGTCATCAGTGTTCAGGCACGTGGCCCAATCATCTCAGTCGATGAAGATTCACAACCTCATCAACTGACTGACCATCATTCCTTAATACCCTGCATCTAACCCCACTATTACTTGCCAGGTCATCCTAGCAATATTTCTAAGGCATCCATGGTCAAATATTAGTAGCTTACGAGTATCTTCAACTCTTAATGGCCACGTTTCGCAACCGTAAATTAAAACAGAACGAACTGCCGCACAGTATAGTTTCATCAACCAATTCACTAACTATATTTCTGAACTGTGAGTTCATCCCCGCATTTCCAACCATACATGTAAAATATATTAGAAATACCACTGTAATATATAGATGTATCCCTATCTTCTGCCTACAAATATTATGTTATACAACAATTAAATCATATAATAAAAATAACTGTTCAGTGTACTCACCCTTTGATAAACATATGGAACTCTAAACAGTATCAGTGATAGAGTGACTGAATAAAGGTTAAATGTGTCATTTTTCTTATTAGTTCAATATTTAGACTTGAAACAACTTCTAATATAATGTATAGTGATTAACATTTATTTATTCATATGTTGCTCAATGCTTAATTCGTTATGTTGATTTGATTCCTTGACATATTTTAATTGGCAACTCTATATCGTTATATCCTTTATTGAATGGTTCCAATAGAAAATTAGGCGAGACTATAATTTATGAATGAATCAATCACGTATAAGATAATAGGTCATGGAGTTTGGCGCAGAATTCACCCATTCAATCAGATAAATAGAGTTTTTGGCATGATAGCTGATGTCAGTTCGTGATCAAAACCGTAAATCTAATTTCTGTGAGACTATAATTTATGGACGACCTTTGAATGACGTTAAAGTGACGTTGAGAATATCCACCTACTTAATAGAACTAAATGAAGTTTATAAACTTGTGTGAATAACAGGGACTATGATTAGGATTAGGCATCTGATTCATGATTTACATCATGAACTAATATTAACTATAATGCCAAGATTCTATTTAGACAAATGGTTGAATGAATTTCGCGTCAAAATTTAAGACCGGAAAGATAAAGGAAGGTTATGCAAGTGGATCTAAAAAGTTGAATTACTTTATTGAAATTATTATGTCACTCATTATTTGATGAGTTATTTTCTTTATATATATATATATGTACAGATTGTAGATGTTGAAATTGAAGGAATTCAAAGAATTAATGAAATACTTGGTGATAGTCTTGGTTTTGAAGATAATGAGCTTGGTAAGTGAAATGTGTAATTGATTTATTATTTTTAAAGAAACTAGTTGTCTTTAATAATGATTAAAGATGATAGTTTATGACTGCATCACATCTCAGATCACTTATTACATATCTAATATCATATTTACAGAACCCAAGCACCTCAATAGCATTATGTAGCGCAGAGAATGAGACTATACTAAATACGTAATTCTGAGCCGCAAATGTTCATCGTTGTTTCAACATCTAAATCACATTCGTAATGAACGATTCAATACTTTTATTAGCGTGTTCTGAACATAGGATAGTTCCAACTGTTCTTCTTAGTAGAGGAACTCTGTCATGGACAATCCTTTCCAGCTCTTTTCAGCTGTTATTCATATCTGACTCTGTTTCCTGACGTTATGTGTTGTTTAGCCTTTCTCTCTTCCGCTTCCCATCAGGATTGCAATTTAGAGTTTGCTTCGTGATGCAGTTTGGTGATTTCCGTAATATATGTCCTATCCATTGCTTAATTTCCTCTTCAGCTAGAAGCTGATTGTTGCTAATGATATCCGAGCAATGGATGTTGAGTATCTTGCGTAGACAACTATTTATAAATACTTGCAACTTCTTGATGATGGTTGTAGTAGTTCTTCAAGTTTCAGCTCCGATTTTGACTTTGATATTAGTTGACAGAAAATTGTTCTGATTTCTATAAATATACATTGTTAGTTTTTGATTGAGATCATGAACCGATTGATGTTAGACCATCACAATTGAAAACCTGGAAGCACTGGACGGCCGTTCCGCCCTATTGTGGGACCCCCCAGCAGTGCGCATCCACGGTCCCGCGAGCGGGATTCGAACCCGGGGCCTTCGGTCCCGCGCGCGAACGCTTAACCAACTGGACCACTGAGCCGGCTTCCAATGGTTACAGTTTCTAACATCAACCAATCCACGAAATTGCACGACCAACTTCCGTTGTACTGAGGTAGATACCTGTCTCTACCCGACAAGGATTAGCTCCACTGGTCACGGCTTCTCACTAGAACTCCGAGAATTCCCTCACGAAGCTAGTCACTAGTGAGCACATGTTGATTACTAGTATAAGGGTTGTGGAGATTATTAACTTTTGTTAGTTGGTTGCTAACTACAAATAAAACTAGTGTTAAACTTTTTTTAAAATTATTGATTCCTATCAAGTACACAGATCATGAAAAACAAACACAAACAACCATAAAACTTCACATCAACATATTTCTCACATATTCAATCATCAAACTCCGTATGCTATCGGTTATTAATCTTAGTTACATACCTAACTTCATTAATGATATACATATATATATATATATATATATATATATATATATATATATATATATATCAGTCATTGTCAAATCAAATCATTGATTGTTCAATACACTACCATCTATTCCTTTACACAATAAAAATTGTAACCTCCTTTGTTTGATCACTGGAATTCATGATGAACAACATAAGTGTAGTACATAAATAATTAAAAGAAAAGCACTTGAAAGAAAGACAAAAAACATGAGAAAGAAAGAAAGAAAGAAAAAGAGTGAAAAGAAGAGTAATGAAGTCGTTAATCGTTTATTTTCTTCTACATAACAACAACAACAATAATAATAATAATCATAAAATGGATTAGTTTAATGAAATTAATGTGATATATCATTATATAATATAATAAGTAATACGTAATAAAATGTATCCAACATAGGAAATTGATTGAGAGTATTTATATTCATAAGGAATAAATAAACACTAAATTCATCCTTTATTTATTGGTATGTGATCAATTTAGGTGAAGAAAATTGCACAATAGATTCTAATCAACTAAGTAAATATTCTATGAGATAGTAGTTGAGATTATGAGTGAATTGAAATTAGATCATCATGAAAAATCTGGAAACATTCGATGATTGTTTAATCCTATTGTGGGACTCTTCAGAAGTGAGCATACATGATCATGCCTTAAGAGATTTAAAGTCAGGATCTATCAATTTCATACACGAGCGCTTAACCTCTAGATCAGTGAGCTGGTCAGCATACAACTGTGTTCATGTCTAACATCAATTAATCCACCAAATTGAACGATACATCCATTATTGTCTTTAGTGAGTTACTATTTCATAACAGACCAGTTGAACTTCACTGGTTACTACTTCTTACTAGAACTCCAGGAAATACTTCTTAAAGCTAGTTACTAATGAGCATATGTTGATTCATATCAGAAAGGTTAATAGTAATATAGTAAGTACGAAAATGTGAAGAAAATTTTTTGAATAAAGTGCATAGTAGGAGAATATCATCTTGTCAATTGAGATAGCAATGATAATAATATTGTTGTGTGAATATAATATGTAGTAAGGGGGATATTACGGTAATTACGATAAAAGAATCAGGAATGATGGATGTGAAGATTAAGATAGAGATAATCAAAAAAAGAAGAGGGCAAGATATTTATAATATTCAGTTTAGGTATTCGGTGATCCAGTAAATGTAGAGGCTGGATATACGTTTTCTGGATACATAAGTTTGGTTTTCTGGAGTTGATCTAGATGGCTTAGGCTATGTAGAATAACCGTGATGTAGATCCTTGAGGTAGATATTTTGGAACTTGATATAAAACAGAGAAAGCTTCCTCTATTTTTATATGATGTTTATTATCTACCAAGTGAGAAAGGATAGTGCTGTTGATCGATTTAGTGACTTCTTTGTCTAACGATGCTGATACATATTCACGAATGCGCAAAAATAAAGCTCACTGAGTACGGTCTATGAAATTAGCTCCACAGGAGCAGTTGAATTGGTATACACACATAGTATATTGACTGATAGACATCGTGAGGATATTCGCAAACCGAAATTGAATTATCACATTCCTATCACTAAACATAATAATGGATCAGGCATCGTTATTCTAAACAAGATAGACTACATAGATAAGATGAATTCCCTACTGAGTGATCAAAGTAAATTCCAAAAGCTTGGGTCATATAAAGACCTCAATGAAAAGACCGAACGTCAACGAACTGCAGCATTAGAAATTTTTAAAACAGCATCAATACGTCTCTGAACATACTTATGATGGGCTCAAGCCTTCTAGAACACATACCTCTCGACTATATGGCGCACTTGTGCGAGACACATAAGTTAAGGGTTCGAATCCCATGGGGCGAGATCGTGGGTGTGCACTGATGACGAGTCCCATAGTAGAACAAAACAACCATCAAGTGCTTCCCAGGTTTTTCATGATGGTCAAACTTCAATTGACTCATCAATTCAACTATTAAAAATAACTACAAAATATGTATTACATTGAATCTGAAATTTTGATCTTTGAAATATAATATATTCTCATAAAGGAGTTTTGTAAAGATTTTAGTAATTTCAATAGTTGAATTCATAAGTCAATGAAAGCTAGACTGCCATGGAAAAGCTGAAAACATTAGACAAACAATTTGTCCTAATATCGGACACCTTAACGGTACACACCTACGATCCCACTCCATGAGATTCATGAATTCAAACTTTTCAATATAACAGATTGAAATCATGAGTCAATGGAAGCTAGACCACCATTTAAAACCTGGAAGCATTGGACGACCGTTTCGTCCTAGTAAGGGATTCCTCAACAGTGCGCATCCATGATCACTCACCCTGCGAAATTTAAACTTAGGACCTATCAGTCTCGTGTCAGATGCTTCACCAACTAGACCATTGAGCTGGCATCCAATTGTGATAATGTTTAACTTCAACCATACCACAAAGTTGTGCCACCATAAATCATTGTCTTCAGTGAATTGATATCTTACAACAGACCTGGTTAAACTTCCATATCATATAATTTTCATGTTTAATCTCATGTTTATTTTTATTTATTCTTTTGTTTTTGTTTGTTTGTTGTTGTTTTTGTTTTTCTTTTTGTTTTCTTTTTTCTTTTTTCTTTTCTTTCGATAATTAGCATTCTATCTATATAAATTAGCTAAATCCTCAATAAATCCAAATGATTTAGAACAACATATGAATAGAAATAATAAATTATTTGAATTTATATTACCGAAAACATTAATTCATTTATTATGGAAAACAGCTCATTTCAATGAATCATATTATTCATATTAAATATAATGATTATTATTATCATTGAAAGTTTTATCATTTAATGAAATGAATGTATATCATATTATATATGATAGTAATTCTATGATTGTTGGTTCATGAATAAATATACAATTTCATGTATGTGATTATATAGAATAGATGAATCAAAATTTTCACTACCGGTGAAAAGAAGACATTACTATCTCTCAATCACTCACTCTCACTCTCCCTCTCCCTCTCTCGCTCCCGTTATCCTTCCCCTATTCATGTGCTTGCGCTCTATTTCTCTATCGCCTGTCTACCTGTTCCGCATTACTATCTCTTACTCACTCACTCACTCACTCACTCACTCACTCACTCACTCACTCACTCTCTCCCTCTCTCGTTATCGTTCCCCTATTCTTCTGCTTGCGCTCTATTTCTCTGTTGCCTGTCTACCTGTTCCGCATTACTATCTCTTACTTACTCACTCATTCACTCACTCTCTCTCTCTCTCGTTATCCTTCCCCTATTGTTCTGCCTGCGCTCTATTTCTCTGTTGCCTGTCTACCCGTTCCGCATTAATATCTCTTGCTTACTCACTCATTCACTCACTCTCTCTCTCTCTCTCGTTATCCTTCCCCTATTCTTCTGCTTGCGCTCTATTTCTCTGTTGCCTGTCTACCCGTTCCGCATTAATATCTCTTGCTTACTCACTCATTCACTCACTCTCTCTCTCTCTCGTTATCCTTCCCCTATTGTTCTGCCTGCGCTCTATTTCTCTGTCGCCTGTCTACCCGTTCCGCATTACTATCTCTCATTCTGTCTCTCTCTCTCTCGTTATCCTTCCCCTACTCTTCTGCATGCGCTATTCTTCTCTATCCCTCGTATATACTTCTGGACGCTCTCTTTCTCATTCTCTCTATATC